AGTATGCATGTCAAGAACATGCATGTCTAGCATAGCTTAAAGCATATTAAATCCAACAAACTAAAGCATCTGTCAGTCATTCTAATTGATTAGTTTTTAAAAACCCGGATGCGTACTCTATGTTCAACAATCCAGAAATTAAAAAAAACTTTGAATTACTGTCTTAAATGCAAAGCATTAAAACGGCAAACACTCTATGTTCAACAGTCCAGATTTCAATTCTGTTTCACAGGTCCTTAAGATATTTTTTCAAAAACTAATCAAACATTGGTTACTCATCTCTATTCTCAAAGACTTTATATCAATCAGTTCAAACACATAAAAAACTCAATATTATTAATAACACCAGACACTATATGTTTTTTGAAACACGATTACAAATAACTAAAAGAAAGTTGTCAAAGGCTTTAGATCAAACACATCATACAGTTTTTACAGCTGTTTCAAGTAATTGATGTATTCAAAGCATATGGAACAATCACATAAAACACTATTTATTTAAATAAGATCAGTACAAAGAGCTAAAAATGTTGAAAAAAACAGTTCATCCTTTGTCAGGAAAAGGCCTAATTAAAAAAACAGTTCATCCTTTACGATAATTAAACATTTTATGCCATAATTAATTTTAAAAAAACATCAATTTGGATCAATCACATCAAACACGGAATATGACCTAATTTTTTTCTATGAAATGAATAAATTATATACACATAATAAGAATCATATGCAAAATTTTAAATGATTCATTGACTTACATGTTCGTCCATGAACACCATCTCAATAGAATTTGTCATCTTCTCATCACTATATACAGTATATTGTCTTCTGAAGCGTGAGGAATAAACCCATAAGAACTCCTTTACATGCATGTGTTTTTTTTGGATTTGAAAAATAAAAAATATCGTATTATTTTAGACAAAAATCTAATTTGTTAAGTCACTGAATCTCTCCTTGTGATTTGAGTTTCCTTTTCCAAAGATGAAAAATCAAAATACTGTTTTGGAAAGAAACGTAATATCAATTCCGGATTTAGTTCGATTGTACATACATACAAAAAAGAATAAAAATTTGAAAACATAGCTAATTTCGAGTCTATCCTTAGTGAGGATGAAGAAAGATACCTGTTTTGCACGCGATAGATCCGGGACAAAGAAGGAAGCTTCTGTTTTGGACGCAATAGATCCGCGATTTTCCTGGGTTCCTTTTTCACTGATTTGCGTGGAACGAAGAAAGGAAAGTTGCGCTAGATCCGGGACGAAGAAGTTTCTGTTTTGGACCCGATAGATCCGCGATTTTCATGGGGATCCTTCTTCGCCGATTTGCCTGGAACGAAGAACTTTCCTCAAATTTTTCTTCCATATGTTGAACGGCTCTCCAACAAATGACGCGTGGAAGAAGGCTGATGTGTAATTAAAATAAAATTCTGCAACTGACACGTGTCAAAATTCTAAGCTATCAACTCTCAAATATTATATTAAAGGATTTGATAGTTGAATTTCTAAAAATTTGACATGTGGCAAGTTTGCTTGACATTTTTTACACATC